GCACTGACATCAGGGTCTTTGCTGCCTCCAGCCCCAGCCCCACATCCATGAGCTCCGGAATCACTCCCCATAGAGTTTGGTGACCACAAGCCCTCTAAGGCAGCTGCCACCCAGCTCACTGACGATCTCCAGCATCACTTTCAGTGACTGCCAGCATCTGGGTACCAGGCTGATGCACACTTGTAGGATGCCATGCTGGGGATACAAAACCTTGATGCTAATAGTAGCACAGCACAAAATCAGAGTCTTGCAGGACATGATTTATTGTTTGATGGTGCTTCCCAAACCCCCACCAGTGTTTTGAAAATCAGGCTCCACAGAGAATAGAATTTGTCAAAAATAATGAAAGCTTTGTTCCTTTCTTTATATAAAATCTAATGGTCTCTATCCAGACAAAGTTTCTTCCTGGTCATGGACTAACTACTTTTTCAGCTTGCATCAACAAGCATTTGCTAATAATAATCACCTGGAGCTTGGAAACTGGTTACACAAAATGTCCTCAACCTTAGTTTGTGCAGGAAGAAAAGATATGCAGAATTAGCCATGCTTTTTTCCGTCAGCAAGAATGGCGTGTGCATATCGCTTTCCAGATGGAAAAGCAAAAGCATGATTCCTTGCCTGAACTTTATGCAATACAGATAAAGGCGTATGCTTTTGTGAAATACATTCAAGATGGCTGTGAGGTAAGTTGACTTCTGTGCCTCTGAAATGACCCGATGGACTACAGTAAGACATGGCATTAGAGTAAAGGCCATCGAGGTATTAACTAAATGAGGTATTAACTAAATCTGAATATATTTCTTGCTTTCTTGCAAGAAATATATTCAGATATTCAATGTCTTGAGTATCCCAGAAAGCTTGGGTTCACCCTTCTGTGGTTCACCCTTCTGTGGATGGAGCTAAGCCATTGTATTTGCAAGGGCAAACTGCTGTGGTGCAAAATGTCCATGGAGCAATACTCAAAGAGGGGATTGCTTTACAAGGCCACAGTGATGCCAAGTGATATGGAGAGGTTCAAGGCGTGGCTTGCAGCAGGTTTTAGGGGGGTTTGGTAAGCAGAGCAGGATGCAGATGGGTTCCCAGGAGGGGTGCTTTGAGCAGACAGGAGTGACATAGACCTGACAGGAGACCAGTGGCCAACTGAGCAGCTGTGGGGGCCAGACAGGGTGCCCCGGGGCACCCAAAATACACCCAGTTATTGCTCATTGTGTCAATTGATCCAAATTCCATTAGCTTTTAATGATTAGGTGCCTATCCTCTTTGTATCTTCAGCAGCCAGTCTACCAGACCATCCTGGCAGCCCCATCAGCCAGGTGACCCCCTCAGCAGGCAGCCCCAAACCCCACATTGAGCCCTGTCTGGTTTGGCAGCACTTTCCTCCATGCCATGGACACTGAGGACTCTTCCCTGGAGCCAGAGTTTTTGGGCTCTGGGCAGCACTCAATGACCATACGTTGCACAACCTGGCAAGGCTTGGCTGGAGCTGGGGATCCCCAATGGTTGGCTTCACTGTGGGGTTTGATGGCATCGCTCTCGGGGGGAGGAAAGGAAGAGCCCTTGTGTCTGTGGTCTTACAGCCCTTCTGCAGAGACCTGATCTACCTGCCCTGCTCAGGGTGCGCCTGTGCCGGGGTCCTGCCTCTATCCCTGGCTTGCACCAGATGTTTCAAAAGAGAACATAAGAAATCCTGAAGGTGACAGCTACAGAATAACTTGCCAGCAGGGAAAGTTTCCTCCAAATCATATTACTCAGAGGTTGGCTTCTACCCTGGAGCATTAAGCTTTATATCCTTGTAAGCACTGTCTGTGTTTGTTTGCTCTTTATGTCCCCACCACGGTAAGTCTGAATCTTCTGGCTGTCCAAAGAGAGGACAAAGGGTCTCACTGCTATTTTTTCTGTTTAAAATAGAGAAGTTCTTTAAATTAAAGCTAGAAAGAAAAAATAAAGTGCAGTCCCTGTTATTATCCTTATCCTGGAAGGGCTTTATAATCACTTATCTACACTTAGGGAATAGTTTTGCTCCCCAGTAGTATCTGTTTGGTAGGCTGTTCAAAGAGCCAAAGCATATTAAATGCACAGAATAAGTGATGTTGAATAATGCAGTTCCATTTACACCATGTTACAGGGGGATGCAAAAGGTAGGGACACAAATAAGTGTGAAGGGGTGGCAGTCAGAAGATGCTCATAAATTCCTGCTTCTAATTTTCTAAATTATTACTAATGAGAGAGGTGGATGGTCAAATGCCAGCATGAACTGTCAACAGTATTTGGTAGAAATCTCAACTGTCATTCTTAACTTGGCAGTATACTTTAAACACAGAACACAACAAATTTAAAATAAAGCCCCTTTCATTTAATAAAGTTTCCAGGGAGAATAAATAATTAAACATATTCAACCGTGGTGCTGCCAGCTCATCCTCTCTCAGCAGGCACGATGGTGCAAAGCTGGGTCTGAAACCTCTCCTTCAATGAGGAATGCAGCTCCCAGTCCCAAAACCTCCCCACTGCTCTCCAGGGCTGGCCAGGTTGCTTAACCCAACTGCTTCTGCTGCCAGCCTTTTCCAGGATTGCAAAACTTGCTCAAGAAAGGGGCTTTGCACTAAGGGATTTTCTGCAAGGAGGAGCACAGCACATATGAACATGACATTCATGAAACAAGGGTCTGCCCTGTGTATCTGTTCAGCATCTTTGCATATGACTGAGGTGTCAGTGTTATCTCTAAATAGCAATATTCCTATAATAGCCTTATGGGAAAGAGACTGCATTAGGTGTAAAGTGGAGAGAGAGATGAAGGTGAAATAAAAATTAGAAGGAAGACTGTACTTCCATAGAAAATGAGAAAGTGGTTGTGCATAAAAAAATCTCAGTTGAAATACTGAGAGAGTATTGGGATAATAGAAAATGATTACTCAAAATGACCACGGAAAAGGCTGGGGATGCAAGAAGGACTAAGAGTATAGAAGAATTAATGGAGAATACATGGAAAAAAAGGGAAAGAAATAGGAAAAAATCAGAGACAGAAGAAATAATTATTGTCACTTTTTTATTTTGTAGAAAATTTGCTTTTGTACAGCATCTGACTTAACCATGTATCAAACAGACAACCTCAAAGAAATTCATAGCCCTGGAAACGGAGGCCAGAGACAAATTGTATATACTTCGCTCTGACTCTTCTTGGAGGCTACAGATGTTCATTGTTTGGACATACAATGGACAGATTAATATTTCCAGATGTTCACCATCCATCCTCCCAGAACATTAATGGGCAGTCCAAAGAACAAATGTTTTTAGGAGAAACTTCATTTTCTCCTAAAATTATTTTGTCAGTGTTTATGTTTGGGAGAACACCTGCTCCAAATGTAGGGAGCCTACACTACAGAGCAATGCTCCTCTGTCCCACAACCCAACACCACACAAAGCCTGCAAACCATCCATACAAGTGCTGATGAACTGACTTCCAAAGACAATGAGAATCCAGCATTGCTTTTGACTATTTTACCTGATAGGAATAAGCAAATATTTAATATTACAAAAGTATTTAAGTGGTTGAGTGGTTCGGAGAATCAGTACAAACATAGTAAGTACCTCTCTTGAGCCACAGACATAATATGACAACTTTTGTAAGAAATGTGAACATGAATTTGTCCATAATTACACTTCTTATTTACAGAGGAAAAAAGCACGCATCAATTTAGCATTGCCAAACGTGATACAATTAGTTGTCATACATTTATTTGTTTTTGTAGAAAAACTTGTGATGACATTTTTGGGAAGGCTCTAGATAACAAATGCTCATTTTAATTTGAAGAGAAAAGCTGCTTACCACCAATTCTCAATGCCATATTATATAAAAACACAGGTGAGACGCTGCTGAAAAATAGTAATTCAGCAGCAGCATGCAAGTCCCCTGGAAAATTAATCAGATAGTTTTGAAAATACTATCTTTATTATTATTGGCATGGTTCCCTCTCATTCCCATTCATGAAATCCCACTGGCAAAAAGCAACCTTCTGCTGAAGCAAACAGACTTAACCCTACGAAAAATACTGTAAGTGAAGGAATGACACTTGTTGCCTTCAGTGTACAAACCTAGAAGAGAAAACAGAACAGGATTTGGTCTTCCACTGATATGAAGAGGATGTTAAAGAGACATGTGCTTTTTTCAACATGAAAAATTTCAGTGAAATGGATGCTCAGGTGATAGCCAGGAGGACTTGAGTTTCTCAGCTTGGGCTACAGCTACATTACAGATGGATGCTGTCCTGCAGCGGAGTATCTCACCCTGAGAAGAAGAGCAGAGGTCTGCAAGAGGCTGAGCCATTTCATTATTTGTTCTGGCAGTGCCACGCTGAGCAGCACCAGTTTTCTTGTGGGGTGGTCAGGTCACTTGAGCTGACATGAATTTGCTCTCAAAATGTCTTTGCCATAAACCAATGGAAAGAAAAATATCTGGAAAACTGAAGGTAAAAATCTTGGCTTTTCTCCAGTGAAATCATTGAAGAATTTAGCTGCTCCTTTCAAGAGAACAAGGAATTCAACACAAAAAGATCGATATCCAAATATCCCACACAAAATCTGTGGGAGCTGTTGTATGTAGCGGGTTTGAAAAGGGACTCATTTCTGCCTGCAGGTGGGTAACCCACTTTTATAGAAAAAAAACCACATTTTGTGACAAGCAGCAGAAAAAGATAAAAAGGAAAGGAAAAATATTATTTAAAAAATTAGCATGCCATTAAAACAAGTATAAATACACATTATATTACACGAGTGAACTGTGTCTTCTTTAGTGTACGTGCCTTTTTTTATTACTTCATACACTAAGTGCTAAAGTGTTTCTTAATGCCATTAGGTGGTGCTTTCAGTAAGTAATAGAATAAATAGTTCATGTACGGTTCTTTTCTGCATCGTGTTCTCATTTTCTTAAGTCAAAGAAAATTTAAACAAAACACCACGGTTGCCTCCTTCTTCTGAAGCCCACCGACCTCACACAAAGCCATGTATCATGTTTCTGAGGCACTCTGGCTCCCCTCGGGTGTGATAAACTGCACTTTGGGCACGATAAGGGAGGGATTGGTTCTCCGCATGGAGTTGCTCCTCCGAATGGAGTTGTTTCTTCTCATGGAGTTGCGTTTCCGTAAGGAGTTTTGATGGGACAGCTCACTCTTCTGCAGGGTCTGGATGAGAATGGATGGTTTCTCATCGAGCTCTCGAGCGCTGCAACGTGGGGCCGCCACTTTGACAGTGTTGCCAAACTTGGAGTAGTCGACTGCGTACACGCCTTCCTCTTCGGTGACGATGGGCACAAAGCGGTGACCCCACAGGATCTCCTCTGCTATGTAGGAGGTTCTTGCCTGCGTTGTGATGCCAGTTGTTTCTACAACTCCTTCAAGTATCACGATGAGCTCAAGGTCCTGGAGTGCCAGGTCAGCAGCGGAGATATCATAAAGAGGACTTCGCTTGTCTATGACGTGACAAATGATTAAGGGAGCCACGAGGAAAATATTGTTGCTTTCAATGGGGTTATCCACAGGGATATCTACTTGGTGAATGGGTATGACTTCTCCTTCAGGGGTTGTGGTCTTCCTCACAACCTGGATTCTCACCGAGGCACTAATGATCATGCTCTTCCTCAGGTCTCCCACTCGAAACATGAAGCAAAGTTTGCCATTTCGAACTGCAATGACCGCCTGCCGGCTGAAAATCAAGGTCTCAGCCCGCCTGTGAGCTTGGGCGGTTTTCATGAATATGCAGCCCAGCATGACAGCGTTGATGATCAGACCCACAATGTTCTGCAGGATCAAGACTGTAATGGCTAAGGGACATTCCTCTGTCATCATCCTGCCCCCAAAACCAATGGTCACCTGAACTTCAATGGAGAAGAGGAAAGCAGAGGTGAAAGACCTGGAGAAGGAGATTGCACAAAGTTAACTCTAAGGACATTGAACACAAACTGAGAAGCCATTAACATAAACTTTCTAGAAACAAACTTAAGGACCTATTTGTACAATCCTGGTACACTTAAGCCTTCTGTTATCACCAGCAAAAGCACTGCAAGCTCAGCGACTGTTTTTGTACAACCGGTGCAGTATCTGATGGTGACAGGGAAGACCTCAGAGTCTGTAGCACTAGGTGACCCTGAGAAGCTCACTAGACCCTCTGTTCAGGAACACATGCTGCCCACTGTGTTAGTCAACAGTGCTGTAACACCTAGGCTTTCCACCTTCTCCATCCCATGAAGCTCTTGGTGGAGAGTGGTGGTTTTGGCAATAGTGAGCAATCAGCTGGCACACCAAGAATCTTCCACCAGCCTGTGCAGGGAAAGAAAATGGGGAAAACATTTCACCACCTGAGTCGTGACCCCCTTTAGCGGGATTTACTGGAAGGAAAGGGGACAATCCCAGATTCATGACACTTCCCAAACCCTTGCTTTCCTTGTGACTGAGCCTGCGGGATCAGGCTGTAGAGAGAGGCCAGTGACCTCCACAGTCCCCTCTGCACATCCCGGTAGCAGGACAACACTGTAAACCAGGGTTTGGGTTTAAGCTCACCGCTGTGGCAAAACTAGCTGGAAAATTTCAACACAGAAGTGGGTTGTAGAAGTGTGGGCTAAGTTAAATGTCCCTAATATGCTACAGTGCTGGACATCAGAGGATGCTGTCCACGAACTTTCCAAAATACATTATTTATTATAGTCCACAATGTCATATCCCCTGTATATACCAGGGTCTTTCATTTCCTTTTATAACCAGATACATCCTTCACCAAAGTCTCTCGTGTCTACAATCAGTACCTTGGGGTTCATCCAATAGACTTGAAGCACATTGGGCCTCATCTGAACTAATACCATAGTCACCCTTTCAACACAGTGCAACCCACCAACATTTGAAGCATCGTCAACCTCAACATGACTTCACCTATGGAAAATATGTCCTGCCCATGAAGATGGTTCTAAACCATTTATTGGGTTTGGTTTGCTTTTCAAGTAATCTCCTTGTAAATCAATTTTTCTTCTTCTTTTTTTTTTTCCTAACCATATTTTCAGTGAACCTTGGAGTCAGAAGGAGACATAATAGCATAGTCAATATCAGGGATAATTTTCTGTAGAATGAGAAGAAAGTTCATCTTTCAGAAAACAAGCCAGTCTCTGCAGAAATATCTTTGAAAGAACTTTGTCCTTTTTTTTTTCCTGCTCTATTTATTTTTAATCTTTGGCAGATTCCCTTGTATTGAGGGGTTGATTTTTGCATTTCACTCTGAAGAGATCAGGGACAAAGGTGTTAATTAACAGCATCCATGGAAGGATTTCTTATGTTCATGAATATTGAGTTACATGCAGAATGAAGCTTCTGGTTTAAAATTAATTCAGCTTAATTCAGTTTAAAGCTCTGTGGAGTAAATACTCTGATTTCTGATTTCCCTTAACGGTACACATTCTTTTTTTTAAAAAAAAAAAAAGAAAAGAGAATCCACCTTTTTACAGTGGAACTAGCTGAAGCAGCAAGTTTGTACAGCATTTTGACCATGTGAAGAGGGAGCCATAAACTCCAAATCACACTATTCCCAGGTCCTTCCCTTACAGCTGTTTAACGGTTTTCCTTTTTAGATGATTTTTTTGCTTTCTGTGGCAAAGGGCTGTGAGACTTTGAAATTTCTGCAGTGCTTTGAACAATTAAAGGGCTGTGCAAGTTCTAGGCATTGGTTAAAATTTACAAAATGAGGTTTCCGTGTAAAGCTGTAATGACATCTACCCAGGAAAGCTCTCCTGAAATACCTATGGGCCTACATCTCAGGGAAGTAGGGTAAAAAATATTTGCCATTATTTTGCAATATGTATCATTGCAATATTAAATATATTTTACATCCAAAAACTCACCAGTCTTAAAAATGTCTGCAATGATAGAGCTATTTCACAACTCTGTCCAAAGCAGTAGCCAGATTTAACAAGATGAAGTATTTCACTATGAAAGGGAAAGATTTCCATGGCTTGGACATGGACACTTGAGCAGCTGTTGGCTGAACCACCACAGGTACTTGCACGAAGGAACCATGTGTGTTCTTCGCCATGGGCTAAAGCAGACAGTTACACTGATTCATTTGCTCTGCTTTTTCAGGCCCCTCCATGCTGTCCTTCCTGTGAAGGTCAGCAGCCACCCTGGAAGAACCACCAGCATGGGGCTGTCACAGCTGAGGCGATGGGGAGGGAGTGAGGGACAGAGCCCAGCAGCCAGCTCAGGCTCTGCAGGGTGGTCCAGGAGCCCTGTGGTGGTCCCCAGCCACTCCATGGGGTGGGCCAAGCTGAGAGGGCTGCCAACCAAGCAAAGGGATGTCCCTCCAGATGATCCTGAAGAGCCGGTAGGGCATAGCTCCTCACTAACTCAGGTTGGACAAATCCCACAAATCCCAGAAATGCCAGGGGTGACAACTCAGCGAGTACAAACTGGGTCATGACTTCTCATTTAAGAAGGTGCTACTTGTGGCCAGTTATTGGAAAAGAAATAAGACATCAATCCCTGCCCCCCACCCAAGCCCCCCTCAATGTACAAAAGGTTAGCTTGGAAAAATTTCCTTTAGTTTGGAAAATCCCCATTTAGCAAAAACACATCAAAGCAAAGGGAGAATGAAATCTCCACTCCTTCAGGAGCCAAATACAATGTCCCTTCAGACTTGGTGAGGTGCCTCAAACCCACGTAAGGAGAAATGAGAAAAGGGAGGCGAATGCTCTGATGACTCTGCAGACCCTGCAGCCCCCCCGCCATCCCTCAGAGCACTGCAGCTGATCCGGGCCATAACAAATCAGGATTTTTCTGCTTAAAAACCTGGTGCTATAAAAAGAGATTTTACTGATGAGATAACAAAGCGACCTTATTGCTTACCCCCACCTCCAACGAACACTCTTCTGTTCCCTGTATGTATGTGTAAGTTTATCAGTGTCTTGAAAATTGTTGTGGTTTTGGGCTTGGAGAGTGAAACACTTTAATGGGTGACATTTATCTGAATAGTCCCTTAAGCTTTCATTGTCTGACACATCATGCACGCCATGGAAAGTGTACCTCTGTCAAACTGCTGGCCTACGGCTTCATCAAGGTATTCTGGAGCACCCCATATTTAGCTGTCTCATGAGAGTCATCTTGAGAGAAATCTAGTTTTGCCCTAAGAGGCACTTTTCTTGCTAGTCCTGCCTGACACTCATGGCCAGTGCCCTGTCTCTTAGGCACTACTCTCGGGGTGGCCACCTTTTGCCGGCGTGGCGAGCAGCTCACACCATGCTGGAGGTGCTCCCGCTGCCATAGACAACGTTACAATACATATAACACATACCCACTCTTGTAGCAGGCTCTTATCTCGACAGGCAAGGTATGTTACCCACAGAATGTGGAGACACATGAAAAGCAGCAGGTCTCCCTCTCTTTCAGATCCTGTAAGGAATCAAAGAAATCTACAGTACAGTATTTTCCAAGCCTGGAAGGCTTGCTGAATTGATGTAATCTAGAGGAAAACACTGCACTTTTCAACTGTCTCAACCAAATATAACAGTTCATGTAAAGCAAAAATGGCATTTTAGGTATCGGCAGGACCACAGGCAGCTCCATTCCCTCCCTTTCTTCAGCCCACCAACCCTACTTTACCTGACACATGTCACGCATGGTGTCCACTTTGTGCTGTTCGTAGTGCTTTCTGTGCTTGGGTCCATGTCACCGTGGGCAAAAGCCACCAGCCACCACATCATGGCAAAGAGCAGCCAGCTGCACAGGAAGGACATAGTAAAGATGACCAGCGTGTGACGCCACTTCAGGTCCACCAAGGTGGTGAAAATGTCTTGCAGGAATCGCCCCTGCTCGCGGATATTCTTGTGTGCCAGGTTGCATGCCCCGTTCTTGGCAATGAAGCGGGCTTTGCGTGGCCGGTCTCGGATGCGTGGCTTGCGTAGGTTCTCGGCAGCGATCCGTGCCAACACATACTCTTCAGGGATGATACTCTTCCGAGCCAACATCTTCCTGCCACCATAGTCCACTCAGCGAGACGTGAAATGGGGGGGTGGTCCCTTTAGTGCGTCTCCTCGGGGTTCACTCTATCCTGCAAAAAGACAGAACCTGGTCAGATTTGTCACCTGGGCACTACAGCAAGAAGCTCTGAAGCCATCCAAGCTGTTTGTGGAACACCAGCATTATGTGCAGAAAGCACCAACAACTGTTATATTAAATGTCTCCCTGTGACTACTTATTCTCCAGGACCCTTCCCCTTTCAGACCATCATTTTTCTATGAGCAAGTGGTACCAGCTCACAACAGAAACGAAAAGATGCTGTTCTGACACTCCTTGCAGGAAGAGAAGCTGCAGAACAGTCTTGCAAACCTGGTGTAAAGTAACAAGACGTAGGACGGGTCGTTTCCTCAGGCTGTTTCTCCAGGTCGGTTCCTCAGGCTGTTTCTCCAGGAGACAGCCGTGCCCAGGTGGGTGCTACAACACGGAGCACTAAGTTATTCGCATCCTTCAGGACCTGAAGAATCAGACTTCTCTGGCTTCTCTGAACCAAGGTCAGGCTGCGG